TAATCTTGACAGAAAATATTATTAGTATTTTTTTAGTTTTTATATATTTCTACCAAACATTTGAATAAAATGAAAACAAAAATTGCTTTCTACGTGATTCAGGAATTATTAACTAGTCCAAATTATGATCATTTAGCTATATAGCTTAATGTTTCAAAGAATTTCCGTAATACATTTTTTAGAAGTGAATTTACTCTGGCATAAATTTACAAAAAATGTATAAAAACTATTTGAACTGATAATATTGAGAAAAATTCGATCTGCTACGTAACTAGCAAATATTTAGTCAGTCATACAATAGCTAAGTATTAAGTATTCCCATATATGTAGGGCATATTTTCGACGATTACAATTTTTAAAATAAGTTTTTCCAAAGGGTTGTATGAAAATTTGTAGTTTCTGAAGGCACCGATGAAATTGTTACGCTATGATTTAATGTTACTATCATCGAACTTAAAACTTTAGTTCAACGAAGACTTTACAATACAGAAAAGTAAGCTACACTTTTCATTTCATACGATCGATCTCTAACTATATATCTTCCAACAAATCTTAGGTTAAAAGCAACACTCATACTTCTAAATTTATTATATACAAACCATACAAAAAACTTTCTTAAATTGTTCAGTTTTAACAATGTTGAAAGTTATCAAAGTTAAAACGCTCTAAAGCCTCTATACTTCCGATCAATTTGAAATTGGTTTGCGATAATTTAATCAACCGAATTTATATCATATTTATATTAAATTTTCATTATTTAGATAAATAATTCTTCTATTTAAGCGTAGATTTACTTCAAAAATTCAATTTATACACCATTTTTTACATAATAATGGTTTTCTTCGACAATTTTTACTGTGATTGAGAGTATCGAAACAACAAACCCTTCAAGAAACTAAAAAAGACCTTTGAGATTTTGTAAAGTCTGCAAGTAAAATGCAGTGAGGCATTGATAGGGGTAAGCTGAAATTGATGCACAAGTACACTAGCAAACACTTGGAATAAAGCATACAAGGAACCTTTAGCTTCATAAAAGTGCATCACGACGTCAGCCATAAAGAGTCCTTTTATTCATTACATAAGATTTTGCGCTTAGAAGACAGTTAAGGGCTGAAAAAATGCTTAGGAGACTACTTTCTAGTATGTACTTCAAGTGATTGCATAATAAAAATGTATTAAAATCGGCTGGTGTGTTTACCAACGCGATCATTTTTGATTATGTGCGCGAGCTTTTTTTCTCTTATCAACTTTTGTAGATCTATCAAAACCAAGTATACTATCATTTAAAAATCATTTTTAAATGTCATCCATTGATATTAAAAAAGAATTTATTTAATTACAAAATAAAATAAAACACGAGAAAATTGATTTCATTACAAATGTAAATTATTGCAATCCATTAACAATGTCTCAAAATTCAACCATTTACAAACTATATCATAGATATCGTCTTTGAACATTTAATAATGAATGTACATTTCAATATTTGCCATATATGAAGCACTAATTGATTGATAATTTAATTCTAAATCTTTTTTTCAATGAGTTTATCTTTACAAGTCTTATTTTCGAATATACTAAAGTCAATATAAAGTAAAGTCATAAAATTTTTTAAATACCTAAAATTCAATGTTTTTATGTATTCAGTAAGAAAAAATAGATAGTTTATAAACAATTGAAATACTGTACTTCAAATTTCATCCTTTTATAATGTCTCTAATTCTTACATTTTCAAGGTAGTCTATCAATAATCTGTTGAATGAACGCGCATTAAAAGGAGTACCGGTATATGGTAGTAGATATAATAGTAAATTAAATTTCACTTCTGAGTATTAATTCTTATTTCAAGTTTTCTAGTAAACAACGATTATTTAGAAGATTTCTACACAAGTTTGTATTCAAAAAAGTAAAAAATTGAAGAAAGCCTTGAGTATACTTTAGAATCATGTACAATCAAATTAAAACTGTTTAGTTATAAGCTGCTGAAGCAAGTACATCACTTCCAAATTGGAAGACTTACTTGAATAAAAAATAATCACTAGAGATGATTATTTCAATAATTATTGTAATACCATTATAATACTTTATGTAAGATATCGCTATGACCACTTTCATATTAATAAAAGCAAGAATTAAAATAAAATTTATAACTATCAAATGTAAAATAAATTTCTACTAAACTTTTTAATAAAAGCGGTCAAAAATATATTCTATATCATATTGCTAATAAAGCAATAATATCATAAAGTAGTAAAAATTACATGTTTTTAAAAATCTTATCAAGTTTTGAAAAAAACTTGTACAAGTACACATATATAACACTCAAGGTAGTGTAATAAAAATAGCAATGTTTTACTTTTTATTTATTTTTGTTCCAAGTGAACGTAATTGCGAATAATTTTAATATAAACAACAATTTTAGATTGAAAAATAATTAATTTAATCATATCATCTTATAAACTTATAAGTTAGCTACTTTAAGAACGTTAAATAACTGTCGTTAGTGGTAATATATTATAAAAACTTTTCTATTTTTAAATTGAAAGCTCAACTTTTTTAAAGAGCACCTCACTGTCGAATACTGATATTATAGAATTTGACTTCACCAACAAACTAATGTAAGAAAACATTTTTATCGACAGTCTGTCGATAATCTACTTTTCGTTGGCAACGTTATTACATTTCAATTCAAATCAGAGTTTAACTAAGATTTAAATGAGTGCAAATAATGATTATGAAACAGTCCGAAGCTATAATCAATGTATATTTTATTTTTCAGCAAATTAAATTCAAGGTAAATTAAATGATTTTGATCAAATTTAAATAAATCCATAGTTACTATTATTTAAAAAATAGTGGAATTTAAAAAGCTATTAAATCTACAAATATTATAATATTTAAAAAATTTATTTTGCTGAAGAAGTTTTCATCAATCAATTAAAAATATTCGTATGGCTCGTTTATTTATAAATTTGAGGAAAAAGAAATCAATAAATTTATTTTATAGCACTAACCTTAGAGTGAGAGAGATGAGTATAGATCATAATTTTACACGATAATTTTACGCGTTCAATGAATCATTTACGTTTACAATTCTTTTATATTATTAGGTCATGAAAATTAAATGACCATTCTCGATGCAAAGAAGTCAAATGTATTCTTTGGTACAAATGACTTATAGCGAAATAAGGATAAGAGCGATACGAAGCATATGAATTTATGTGTATTTGATGTGTCTAGAAGTTATCTGGAGATCGGCGAATAATTGAGTGCTCTAGTGAAATGAGCAACATGCAGGAATAGAAGTTAATTTTATAAAAATAAGAATTTTTTAATAGTGGTATATATTTATAAACGATGTGCAATATCAACGGATAGTTTAACTTGATGAAGTTTGTTTCAAAATTATAGCATAAATCGGCAAGTATATTTCAGAACATTTATTCAAAAACTTTGAACTAATGATTTTACAAAATTATATAAAAAAAGTTTATAAAAATAAAATATCGTTTTAGTATTTTTGCTAGCCAAGCAAATGCATTAACAAACAAATAACGTCGAATGTCTTTCTATGTACTTATACATATTATGTCAATTTCCTAATTAGCATTTTACATATTTTGAATAAATTGATAGAAAACACGAAGTAATCAGGACTAAAAAAATATACAAGTTGTAAGTAAAGCATGTAAAAAGCAAACGCCCAGTGATGGCGTTGGAGTTGCATATTTTCGCCAGAGCTACACGGCAGTATAGTTTGTAATTCATGTCGGGATGGCGGATATTTAAACGCTACGGCGACGTTTATAGGTCTACACTCCGAATCAGTAGAAGGAAGAGCGAGAAAGCGAGAAGCAAGCCCAGCGAAAGAGCGAGAAGAAATATGAAGGCGAAGTCGCTTTCGCCTCCTCTTGTAACAGAGAGTCTTCAGGTGGTAAAACCATGGTCACCGGACTTTTTCGCATATATATGTGTACACGCGCGTTTATTCACACAACACGTGAGCGCAGTTACAGTACGTTAATGGACGTCATTACCTAAAGAACGTTGTATTAGTTAAAAATCAACTTTCTACTCTATTTTTCTTACACAATTATTACTTGTCATTATTCTGTGAAATGTCTTTTTGCTAACAACTCTTTTTATAAGTTTTCATATGAGTATACCTCTGGATTATTTAAAACTGAAAGCAAAAGACAGATTTTTGGAACTTACATAAGTGCTTCAGTTTGAAGCGTTATGCCGTGGAAACAAGAGCGACATTCTTTAGACAAATGAAAGACGATGTATGCTGTTCCTATAGCCGTAAAAACCCACACGATCGATTAAAAGTACTAAAATAAACTTTGCGATGGAATACTGCCAGCGATAAGTGATGAATATAAAGTTCTACAGAAGAATTTCTGTCATTGTAGTGTAAAGATAAAGACATTTGCATATCTAACAACGCTAAAGTGAACATAGTCAAATAGCACGTGCATGTAGAGCATACTATCATTTAATGTAGAGCTCAATATTTTTTCAGTACGCATAATTTTATACTTAATTTTCTTTTATATTATACAACTGATAGTATTTCAAAAGCAGCGAGAATGTGTGTAATTAATTTTGATAGTTGGAATTGATAGACTGTTAAAAAACTGCTTGTTCAATTACTTCCTTTGAGTATCGAAACTTTAGTCAACTCAGATAGCTAATCTTGGAAAATTTATGTTATATTATACCTACTTAAATTGATGTCTTCGTTTGCGAGAAAACGTCTTAACTAACGATCATTTACAAAAAAGATACGTCAAACACAATGAAGTTATTACAACCGTGTCTTCGATAACGTGCTACTTAACAATCTGTATTTCAAGACATTATATGTTTTTCTTTAACTCTGTCAGCTTCCGATTTTTCAATTTTTACTGAAAAATTCTTTGAAATTGTGATAGACAATAAAATAATCAGTACTATGGAATAAATTAGCCAGTACTTTGTTTTTCATTACTGATTTATTACAATTTATAACAGTTAAAATATGCCAAGTACACCAAGTTTACGAACAATTGGCAAGTTGTACATATGAATCGCAAGTACGCGCATATATCTTCAATAATCACTGGCGTAGCTGCTTGTGAAATCTCAAATTTGCAATATTCGCTGATCTTAAATTTTGCAGACATTGCATTTTTACATGGTTTATACGTAAACCGGTACAAACTCTCTAGGACGCTCAGATTTATTGTTCATGTATTTAAATATAAATTAATAGTTAGACTAAGTGGTATGTATGTAGACTTTTATACTTCGCTTAATTTCTTACGCAGTAGTACGATTCCATATCATGAAGTATATATTTAACCTTATAGGCCGGATGAACAATCAAATCCCTTGCAGAATAATTACTATATAATGCACACATATCCGGTTACTTTTTTTAGTTTAAAATATTTCTGCTTTTCAAATACATTAAAGTTTTATATCTGTAGGAACATCACGCGAGCTTATGATTTGTTTTCTTGCAGAACAATTGGTTACATTTTACAAATGTCATTTGGTTGAATTTGTATAATTTTGTAAATATATTCATGTTATATTCGTGACTTTACATAATATATAGTACGTATACGAAATAGTTTTGAGAGAAGAAAAAATTTGCAACATTACACCGTAACTGTGAACATTTGTGTGTATGCGATATAAGTGAATATTATTAGCAGCAATTCATAGTTTTTTTATAACAACATTGATGTTTGATACAAATTAAAGAAGGCAGTATTAAAGTAATTAGTGACGAACTTTTCAAGATAAGTTTTCAATTCAGTTTTGCATTTTCACTGAAATTGAAACCTTATAATTTTTTATTAGACAAGAAGTGTACATCTGCTTAAATGATTTTAATTTTGAAATTGAAAATGTTAATGTAAAATATTTCAACTACTTATTCATATGCAGCTATAAAAAATAAATTCTACACATATCAATGCTTATCATACTGAGTAAAATTTCCAATATTTTCGTAAAATTTGAAACGAGTTTTTTTTTAAGTTTACATTGAAAAATAAGTCATTCGCAAAAATAGTTATTTCTTCAACAATTTCTCTACTTTTAATAGTATCGAATAAAATAATCAATAAAAATCACAAAGTAAAAAGAGGTTTATGCTTATTAATTCTTTCTATGTACTTCATTATTATCGTTAAAAATAACTTGAGAATTTTTATATAACAAATCAACGAATGATTCTTCTAAGAGTATGATAACCAAAATATAATGTTAACGTTTACCGGGCTTTACTCAATGCTGGCAATAAGAAAAATAAATATTTAACATTGAGTTGTACAACCAATTTGAAAAAAATCAAATAATTAACTCTACTAAGACGACGTAATATATTAATGAACTTAGATAAAACATAAAACGAAAGAGCTCCTTTTAGTGTATTGTTATCTCTAAAATGTAAACGAGAAATACACCTGTAATTAAAAAACTTGACAAGATTGAGCAGTCCATCTATCGATTTACTTTATATTATACAATGCTTAATCTTGGTTTGACTCTTGTTTGCACTCATTAATACGCCTCAATCAAAGTATCACAATAAATAAAAAAGAAACGCCGAGTTAAATTATTAACAGCAACTTAACTATCATTACTCCTCGTCACGACTACATACTCCCATGCGCATTCATCAAATCGCTTGTTGCTTTTTTTTCAGCGAAAAGAGGAGAGAAAGTTGCTGAACAAACATTCCTTCGTTCTCAAGACCAAGAGAAGCGTACACAATAGAGTCTAACCCGCAAAAAACATCCGAAAACACAAACGATCTCTCGCCGAAAAATCGGCTCTTGTCACATTCAAGTGAACGGAAAAGTAATTAACAAAAACAACCCAAAAGAAAAAATGTGTTCACGGGATTACGTTTTGCGCGCCATTTCCGACGTCGCAGATGTCCGAAAAGACGAAATCGTGTGCGCCCGGCCAGGGGAGCAGAGGGCAATTTGCATCCCTTAAGAAGTCGCGGCTTTCTTTCCTTCTCCTCAAAGTGTGCGCGGACATACATAATGTCTCTGTTCGCGGTTTGGACGTTTCCTTTTTCTCTCGTTTCTCTACGTGCATATGTGTACGCGTATCTTTTAGTGCATTGGCTACCGCAATTTTACCTCTTCCTGCCCAACTGCCACAGGCGCTCTTTCGCGTGCAGTGTTATGTTGATGCGCTCCGCAAAAACAGAGAGCAGTGTATTTCTTTTCCATTGTTGTATATCGATTCGTTTCTTCGCCGACACTTTCAAAACTTCTCAATTCGTGGAACGACCAAATAATGCGGCGTGAGAGACCCTGAAAAGCAAAGAATTGCAATACGTACACACGCATACAGAGTCACAAGTTGCCACCCCGCGTTCGCCAGCTGACTTTGAATGTATGACTTTCTACTTTTTTTATAACATTATATAGCATAATGCACATGTTGGGAACCCTTTTGTGCTGTTTCCTTATTCGTACTAAGGTTTTCTCCTTTTGTCGCCTTCTTCTTCGCTTCAAGCGAAGCGCAATGAAGAGAAGAGGAGAACTTCCTTTAGCGAACTCCTCACCGCTAGCTGTTGCTGATGCTGCGGTTCGCACTGTAAATGTCATGCGCATCTTTGGGTTAGTCCGTATTCTCGGCCTTTTCTATCTTGAATTGGTGGCTCATGCTTGCTTCTGAAATCAAAAGTCGGAATTGATCTTCGATTACCCGTTCGATTGCCTTACTATCAGTTTCTTTGCGTGCGAAAGTTCTTGAAAGCTACGCGAGCTTTTTCTCTCCCTATTTGACTTGAATAAAAATTCAGTGGGAAATGCCTGAAATGCCAGGCGAAAAATAGCAAAACGAAAAATAAGGCCGAACAATAGAAGCATAACTTTATATGGATGGAAGGAAGTGTACTTTGGCGAACGGTTGTTACGCGTGCCTTCGCGCGATTTCTCATGAGCAAAGTTTTAGAAGCGGAGGATGTAGGCACACGGGAAATGAGTAAAAAGACAAAATCTCAAAAGGAGATCGGGCTGTAGGATGAAGGTACGTGCCAAAGAAAGAGGAAGTTGCTTCGAGGATGAAGAAGAAAAAAAAACGAAGAAGAGCGAGGCTACTTCCCTCTTGTTTTTCGCATCCCCTTCTAAAGCAATGTTACTAACTCTCTCGCCAGTGCGAGTGAGCGAGTCGACAGTAAAATCTATTTTATGTCTCCGTCGTAAAGCCAGTCAAATGAAACCCGGACTTAGTTTTCATACGTGCACCTAACCAGGGCTCGTTTCACCGAGCGACTGAGCGAAAAACGTGCTGTGCCAAAGCGAATATAGCCGCAGCTGATTTCGTGCAAGCGAGATTTTGCGATTTTTTTCTCTCTTTTTCCAAAAAACTCCTTCGATGGACGAACCAAAAATACGCAACTGTGTGTATGATTTATTAAGACTTTTGCGTGAAATTCATATCGATGCGCTGTTGCAGAAGAAAAAGGTAAATAATTTACCACAGCGATTCAGTGGCAAATTAATTTTGGCAACGGCTCGCGCTGTAGAGAATTATTTATCAGCGTTCTTGAATTACCTGTGTTTCACATTTACGTTTCTGGGACATATATCAAAATGTAAAATACTACGGTAATTTCGAGTTTTATGCCACAGCGCACTGCTCTCTCAGTACCAAGCGATCCTTTGTTAAGATGAAATCCATCCGGAATTCACATCAAGTGCAGCATAAACATTTCTAACTCTTTGAAGTTATGAGAAATAAGTTATGGAACGATAACCCATGAGAGAGTAAGCCGTGAAGCACGCCAAAGATTTACTAGTCGGATAAGTACTCAATTTCACTCTAACGAAAATATTAATTTTTCTTTTCTTACTTTCGACCTTATTCAATTTAACGATCATGACTTTTAATATCTCAATCATCGAATGCTTTTACTTGAGAAAAAATGTAACGCTTGTATAGCGTCCATTGCAAAGCACGACTATTTTTATGGATCCTTGAAAAAACTCGTAAAAGATAGAATTAAAAGCAATGTAAAAAATCTAATAACATAAATTACAATTCACTAGGTAATTATACACACACACACGTACACACATATCCAAGCAGTTTAATTACTTTGGCTAGTGGGACAACAAAGCGCGGCAAGGATTGACCCCAAAAATGTCCGATGCGCCACTCGTAAATTAATGTCAGCAGAGCCCACGAAACAATCATTCTAAAAGCGTTGCACAATATCCAGCGTGGCGAATACGCCTTTAAAAAAGAATGCAAATTTAATTTGCAAAGAATGAGGCATTTTTTTCTTCTTTTTTTTTGGTCGCCGACGAGGGCAGTTACGACAAGGCTATAAAGCCGTGTGCATTTGCTCGCGAGCGTTCGAAGACAACAACATTCCGCTGACTTGTTCTGCGCTCATTTCAGCGACACACACACACACACACACATACATAAACACTTATACCATACTCGAGAGAATATTAAAGTCCCTTTTAGAACTGCAGACATAAACAAAGAGTTTCCCCGCCTTTCGTGAAGCGTACTAATCTTTTAACTGGTTACCTCCAAACCGGCGGCAGTGCGACGACGACGTGCCAACCTTCGCCGGCAACACTCACATAACGACCTCGTCAAAAAGTTACACACGATTTCAAGCACCTTCATTTTTTCCATAAAATATCAAGACGATCGATACGATGGAGACTATCGTTTGCAATCTTCAGATCGAAACAACATGTTGTCGTCAGTTCACTTAAATGATGCAGAATTTCAATTGTTTTAGTCGCATTCTTGGTGACAACGAAGATTTTCATTTATTTCTAAATTCTTCCAACAAAGCTATTGTTTTTAAAAAAATTGCTCGTTACGAGTGAAAGAAAGCGAACACTACGTTTTACTATTTTTTTTTAATCAAAACTTTCTTGCCTATTCTTTTGTAGAGTTGCTATTGTACATAACAATAGAATCGATTTATATACATGTGTAAGTCTGCCCGCTCGCTTTCTTGCCAGTCGATCAATGCTATGTAAAAAATTATTTTTTTTTCTTTACTGCCGTAGATAAGTGCAATCTTCAGCATATGAAAAAAGGCCTTTCCGCCAATTATTAATTACTAATCAATACGATTATATACATCACGTCATGATTCACTGAGGGTCTCTGAATCTTCAATTGACATTAAAAGGAATAAAAAAATAATTCAATAAAACTGCATTGACTTTAGTCGCAAATGAAATATGGTAGGGAGACGAACACGTGTAAATGTGTCGTACACCTCTCAAGGTGGTAGCAAAAACACCCCCGAGGGCTGTTTTACTTCAATTTCAACGGCAATGTATATGACTGTTTATCTATGTATCCATTACGTATCGTCTAACTATATGCCACTTTTTTGCTTTTGCACTATAGCTGATTTTACGATCGAGCGTAGCTCTTTCTGACTATGTGCCTCACACGTCGGAAGTCGAGGTTGCAGCGTGACAAATTGTAGCATAACAAAGAGCGCTGAACTCGTAAAATCTTTGGGCATACAATGTCGCGCTCTCTTATTCTTTGGGGAATGAAAGAGAGGGGAAGAGAAACGTTTTTACGAGTCTGCATGGGAAAAGTGTTTTTCGAGTGACAAAAAAGCTTTTCGTTTTACGTAAATTCGTGACTAACATACCGGTCGGAGAATCGACACTTTTTTTGTGTCTTTTTATAATTTCTTTGAATAGACGTAAATCGGAATATTCGACTATTATAGAAAGCCGTGTCGATGAATTATTGCATTTAATCTCCGCAGGCTATGCCGTACAAAAAGAGGATTTTATATAGTTGAAAGTTTTTAGTAGTCCTCCCCGTTGTTTCTTAGTTAGAGCGCGCGAATCTTTAAAGTTCGCTGTACGCGGCTTCAGCTGTAATACAAAGATTTCGTCGTTAAAGTAGAGACGATTTCGATATAAAGTCTTGGATTTTTTATGATTTTACGTCGGATTAGAGATTTGATGTCTTTAATTATGCTATAAAATCTTTAATCATGGAATTTATATGCGAGTACACGCTAACAAAGTATTTATTCCAATATTTAATTTACTTCATCGAAAATTATTTTGAAATCACAAGAAAACACTCTTAATATATAAAAGTATTTACTCGTTAACTAACAGAAAATGTTATACAATGCATAACATGAATATCTTGACAAAGAGTAAAATATTAATAAAATAAGATACAACATATCAGTTCGTCAGCACCTAAATAGACGTAATGTCCGAAAAATAACAATTTTTTCATATTTATTAACGTTCATTGAATATTTAAATATTCCTTCTTAGATATGTGCGGATCTTCTCTTATAAAATAGAATATTTATAAATGATTTTAGTTCATTGCCCGTAAGCGTAGACATTGCGAATGTAAGTTGCCGTGATAATAATTAATCATTAATGAAATGTTATCCAAAAAGTTTCAAAAATAAAGATGATCGCGTATCTCTCTCTTTCTCTCTTTTACTCGAATGATAGCTTCTTCACTCATCGTCCATCGCGTTGATTTGCATTTTTATAGCTCGCGCTTAATTTACACATCTCTCTGCACTACGGCGATCACCGCTCGCGTCAACGAAAGAAGTCACGATTTAAGCTTCTCTCTCTTTCTCGCTCAAGAAAGAGTGTACCCATCCATAATTACAGAGTCATAAAAGCCCAATCAACATCGCTGCGAGAAAGAGTCTCTCTCTCTCTCTCTCTCTCTCTCTCTCATTTCCATTGGCCTTCTGCGCTGCTCTTTCGCGATATGGCCATGGGGTGCCTCGTAAAAGTATGATTTACAACTCGCTGCCGTGGCCATCTTCTCCTTCGACGTACTCTTTTTTTCTTCATCTTACGATTGCCGATTTATTGGCTAAACGCTGATTTACCGTCAGACTGTGTCGTAACTCGCGGATTGACGAAAGAGAGAAAGAGAGAGAGAGAGAGAGAGAGAGAGAGAGAGAGAGAGACAGACAGACAGACATACATCCAGACAGACAGAAAGAGACGAATGCATCCTGCCATGGTTTTCGAAGCTAAAATGATTGGACTCGCTCGTTCGCTTGCTCACTTTTTACGACCTCGCGTTTCATGGCTTTCGCTTAATGTAAATACCTTGCACGCGGACATTTGAATATTTTGATGAATTCAATTTCTCTGTCTCTCTGTCTCTCTGTCTTTCTCTCTAGCTACGATCGAGATTGACTTGTGTGTTGTTGGAAATGATGTAGTCAGTTCATAAAAGTTGATAGTTTTTCTGCTGGATTTATACAAAGTGTGTAAAAAAGCGACGAGAATAATAAAAGTATCAGTTGGGGAATAAAAGAAAGAGAAAAAGAAAGTGTTCGTCGAAAATATGCTGGTGATTTAGTGCCGGCGATTTAGTACTAAATCGATGCAAATCACATAAACTAAATGTACCTTTTCGACAAGTTAGACGTAATACGTCGCAGAGGCGAGTTAGTAATCCACTCGCTGATTTAATTAGAAAATGCCAGTTGAGAGTGGAACGGGCCAATGAAAGCCATTCCGGTGTATAAATACGTGCACAAGCAGACGTGCAAGGCATTCAGCAACCCTCGCATCCGCAAGTAAAGAAGGAGAAGACGGCGGCGCATATCGTTAAAAGAGAATGAGCGACGGATAAGGAGAGTAAGAGGGAGTGGTAGGTGTCGATTAAATTGATAGTTTCATACTGACCCAAGTGCGGGGAATTGAGAATTGCACTCTCATGAATGAATCGGTGCTTGCTTAATGCGTAGGAAGTGCGCGCCACCTACAAAAAAAATGGTACGTCATCACATGTATATTTTTTGCAACTTCTCTCTCGTATTCACATGCACACACGCATACTTTAGCTGAAGAAAGGAAAGGAAAATTCTCGCGATTATGAGAGACCGTAAAATTTTCTCGTCTACTTGAAATATCAAGTCGGTCGGTCGCTTGCTGCTGCTTCTGGATCGCGCCGATAGGACGATGACGGAGACGGCGGATACGCGGTTTTCGCGGTTTTACTGCCCTCCAAGCTCGTAAAAGAACTTATACCGATAAACACGTCAGCAGCAGCGGCAGCAACGAACAGAACGGGAAAGAGGATCAATCGGTCCATCTATAAGGCCGTTAATGTCCGATGTTTTATATCGCCATGGCGACGATCTGCTGGAATAATAACGTAAGCGTAAGCGACTTTTTTAATGAATGATCTGCGCAGCAAACGAATCAAAGTTCCGCGTTGCATCTAGTCCTGCGCGCGATAATAATAAAATAAAAATGCAACACATGGCAGAGCAGATTATAAGCGTTGTCGCCGTCTCGACGAAGCAAAGTCGTAAACGATCGCGCGCACGGAGACACATATATCCTAGCACGTAGCTAAAATGAAAACGAGCGAGGTGGGCGGAGGTTTATCGTCTTTCAGTAAAGTGTTCGCTGCTGCTGTGGCTGCTGTGGCTTCTTACGTACCTCCTTGCTCTCTCTCTCTCTCTCTCTCCGTCTTTCTCTCTTTCTCCCATTTTTCACCCTACGCGCTCGTAAAATCACAGCGCGACCGTTTCGACAACATAAAGGTTCAGCGTGCGTCTGAGCTGCGGCAGTCGCGACAAAAGGGAACTACAGCTCTCTATGGCACACACATTCGCAATTTTTTTCTGTTCCAGCTTCTAAGACTCTAACGAAGGCCAACCTCTCTACGCGGGAACGAAAAACTGACCGTTTCTCATTTAACGCCAACTCCCTATTGTCAAAGTCCTTTGAAAACATCTTTCGGAAGAGATCATAGACAAAAACATCACCTGTGCTTACAATGTACTGTTTCGTGCATTCGCAACACAGCTGCGTCTATCACAAGAGTAGCGATTCTCTCAGATTTAAGCTTTAAATTACAATATTGCGTGTTTTTACTACGTTTCGCCACGGAAAGTTGAAAAATCACGATGAGCAATAATTCTACTACCTAGAAAAAAAGCATTCTTACAGTTTGAAAGCTTAGAAGTCGTTGGTGGCAAGCGTAAAAGTATTGCATTATACAGTGTATTAAAAAAATTTTAATAGGTACGCCAGAGGCATAAAAGACCCCAAGGATCACAAAAAAGACTCATAGTTAGAAGGTTTAGTTGCTTTATATATTAAAACTCGTTGCTAGCGCGCCTATATCTCTTATATGTACGTTAGGCAACGAATAAGGCTTTTAAAATGCAATTTTATTACTCTCTGCATAGTTTATTGCGATGAAATATCGCAGAGTTGTTACAAGTGAAAGGAATGTTGCATTAGTAATCAGCGTTTAATTACATAGAATTAATTATTAAAATGGTATATGTATGCCACAAAAAATTAGGAACTCATTAACAATCTTTTATAATTTCCTTCATAATTATAACGTCTAATAGGTCAACGTCAATTCTTTGCTGCACAGAAAAGAAAGTTTGTTAGTAAAATGTAAATCAAGTTTTAAAACATCGACATTATGCCTATAAGGATATTTTCTCACGATATCTTTCTATTGATTTTCATTAAATTACACGTTTAATGAGAGGCAACAATCCGACGACTATCAAAAAATTAGTAACTCAATCAGGTATTCTTCTGCATTATGAAAATTCCTAGCGAAGCGTTAATTTTTTATGGTCTGTTGTCACAGCATATGAGTACATTGTTATAATTCAAGAGCTGATTCTAAAAAGTGCACAAGAAAGCAACATATCGTGAACGTCCGTCGATTAATGTATGGACATCGTAAAACTAAATTTCCACCTACAAAAGTGGGGGCATTTGCAAATGGCGGCCGATCAAACACGATTATTTTAAGGGCTGGGGTCTTATTGTGATGATGGTCATCTGCATTTGGACGTGGCACAGTACGTTGTGCATTGATCACATTCGTCACAAAACTAATTAACAGTGATTAGTTACTCCACTGACAATATTGACAATATACTACGCAGCGTTCAAGTGCGCATGATCAACGCCAAAATAAGGCCTCTGTCTCGACGTGAAATACATGCGTTGTTATTTGTCGCAGTTTGTTACTTAAACGTAACATAGAGAATCATATTTATCCACAGACAGAAAATTTCGCTTAAACACGTTAGTTAAGATTGCTACGCGATTAAAAAATGGCGTTATATGTAAAAAGAAACTTTGCGAAAGCAATGCATTCTATAGCTTATTTTTTTACGTTTTATATATTACAAGATTAAGATGACATGAGAACAAATTTTCTGGGTCAAACAATACAAATACTAACAAAGAGGGTCCCCATTGATACCTAAGTCAAATCAAAACTAGATAACCCCAAACTAACTATACCGTACATTGCATAAATAAAAAACAGTACTCGGGGTTTTTTTTTCCATTTCCAATTGTTTATTAAAAGATATTTAAGCAATTTAAAGAAGTATCGAAATTTTGAAAAAGAATTTGCTTTAATGAATCCTAAAAAAAAATCTATTTGGCGGTTTTTCATCAGAGGTCGTCATATTGATGTGGAATCGTTATAAACTTAACTTTTTCCAGTAGAGTCGATTGATATAATAAGTTTTTGAAAATTTTATAAACATCTTTTGAAAATTTCTATTTGTTTATAATTTATACGTACATTAATTGATGGATTCATAAATTTTTAACAATGCATTGTTTCCTCGTTTGGTTTTTGGGGACAGTTCATGAACTATTGCAATGTTTGAATATTAGAGGTGCACGCATGCAAGAAAAAAACTTTATTTGCGTCAAGTCTAGCCTTAAATTTTTAAAAAGTCTCTAGCCATTGAGTTTTGTTGTCGTAATTCATGTGAGAAGCTGGGGTGCGTTTGTTATACTCTCGTGCATATAACTTTGATTATCAATGCTATATGTAACATTTCTTCGAAGATTTTACTAGCACTAGTATCTGCGGGATCGTAAACGTCACGCCGGTTAAAGTTTCTTGGTCGTCTGCGCTGCGCTGCGCACACAAAAGCAAACCGCGTAGGAAAGAAAAAGAAAAGAGAAGTCCCTTCATTTCTTCTTGTTTTTGACAGACTCCCCGTGAGCGATTTTTAACTTGGAGGGTTCTGTGCCTCTTTTTTGTAATAAACATGCGGGCATAGCTTCGTTCAACGAAGTGTGAATAACCATTAGCAGATTTCATTGTAAAGGCAATAATATATTTTTTTCTTTGGTTTTATGAAAGATTTCTCATGGTTTTATTTGTAAATAGTTCAATTGAATAATTATCGAATGTTTGAGTACTACGGTGAACATTGAATAAAAATATGTAAATAACATAGGTCTTATAATTGCCATATAGATAGATTTTTGACAATCGCTGTGAAACAAATTTCATTATTATTGATATTGAAACTAATATTAAAATGTTGCTTAATGCTTATCTAAGTAAGTCAATCAAAATGATTTGAGCCATTTTTGAAATGAACGTGATGTGAAAATCGTAAAAAGATTCCGAAATGATTGTAAGTAGAATTTGAACTTCAATTACCAATAAAAGCATTGAAAATTAATAGGAAGAACGGTACGCGATAGCCGTTAAAATGTTGAAAGCAAAAAAATTATGCTTTAACAGTAGCCCCATGTAACGAGCACGCGCGATGCGTGCAGTGATAAATACCCTATAAAAGCATAAAATTCAAATTAATCCGACTGTCAGGTAGTCGTATATTCTATGAGAATTCTCATTGGTCTTTATTGAATGGTCCGTCGGAAAAAGTCTTAAATAATAAACAGCATTGTCGTTGTAAAATGCTACTGGTATTTTTATGGTAACGTTGTTTTTTCAAATAAACGTTATTGTGACATGAATATAAAAAACTACCGCCACTGGCCACCAGCTTTGTCGTTCGATCGGTTTTTTTTTCGCTTGTCTCGACACCTGAGTTATAAATTTAGAAAATTACTGCTCGCGTAAAAGCTTCCCAATCAAAGCTGCGGCTTATAATTGATTTAATTTTTTAATTAGCCCAAAAGTAGCTCGTTAAAATCTGGAAGGAGCCTCGGCACATCTGTGTTTGTACTATTTTTGAATTGCATGTTTCGCAGAGCTTGTTAACGAGCAAAAACAAAATCACGATATGCTGTTCTTCGATTTCAAACAACCCTCGTAGAAATTTTCGAGAAATTACATAAAAATTGTCAACTTTTTTGTTATTTTCCAAACGTGAGTGCGTTTCATTAAAATCACTCGTTTTTTTTACCTTGAAGATAAACGAGAGAAGCCACGAAGTGGTGAGAAAGGAAACAGAAAAAAAGTTACCAGACGCTTTAATGGGGCTTTAATTGTAGTCCTTGTTGTTAGAAAGTACTAAAGGTCTTTGAAGCGGCGCGCGCACAAGCATATAAACCAGATTCTCTCGATAACGGCGCCTACTTGCGAAGCGAGCGAGTTTGTTTTAAAACTTTACAAAATGTGCGCGCACTACCAGTGGATGTGAGTCTAAAAGAATTATTTCTCTTTTTTCTGTTCCTTACGTGCGCGACGTAAGAAATAGTTAACCAATTATATTATTAGCAAGCGTCGTGATCTTTCAAATTTCAAATGACACAGACGAGTATACTGCTGGCTTGGAAATTTTTTTTTCATTCGATTTGCAAATTGCATGTATATTGCGCGACACAACTCACTCGAGCAAGCATTTAAGCAACAAAGTAATTTAAGTATTACTAAGTTTTAAATTAAAATACGGGGTTTTTTTGCTTTTGACAAGCGCGCGATAGATAAATCATAAATTTAGTTTTGTGAAAGAAACGTGCCAAGCGTGAATGAGTTATTGATTAATCATTGAA